ATGGAACCTCGAACACAAGTCATCCTAATTAAGAGAAAGTGGGACGCTGAGCGCTGACGTAAAAATAGCTTCGGACCTTAGTGTTAACGGGACTTTTCGCCGCTGTTGACGATACACGTCGCCTACAGTCGATTCTGAGTAAAGTGTGAGGACGTGTGTAAAGGTGCAATTCCTTGAATCTGTGACTTAACTGAAGAGCATCGGTTTGTTACGTTTATGGAAAAAGACAAAGCACGCTTCCTCTTTCAGCCAACCAGGAAATGAGCAGATGGCTGGTGTTACAGACACAACTGACTTACACACACACACACACACAGTTAGTTATTTGAACGCAGACAGGGTGCGTTCTGTCCAGCTGGTGTCCAGCTGGACAGGAATGGTCCTTGATGAACAATCGCACACACACAGACACGTTTCGAAGCCGAACAAATGGACAGTGAGCGTCTGAAATATCAGAAGTGAGTATTTTAGTGTCAGGTGTGAGGATGGAGGATTTCTACAGCAGAGGTTGTGGATAATAGGCCGCCTGCTGCTGCTGCTGTTGCTGCTGATGCTGCTGCTGATGCTGCGGAGCCTGGTGAAGAGGAGCAGCACCAGGGTATGTCATGGAAGGAATGGTAGCGTTGTGATAGGTGGCCATGTCTATGGCCACGCCCCCCTGGGCAGGGTAAGAAGCTCCCGCAGCCTGGTTCATGTACTGAGTGTTGATGCCACTGCTGTGAACAGAGCAGCGACAGGAAACTTACCATGGGAACTACGGAGGCTGGGCCTCAAAACCTGGACACGTTCTGGTGGAACTTTATCGTAGTGACAAACTCTTTAGACTTTAAATATAAGACAAGTACTTTAAACTAGTCATGCGCCCATTCTTTTAATGAAGCAATTTACTAGTTAAAACATTTTTCTATATACATAAATATATATACATATTCAAACATCGGTCGGTTCTATAGTGTAGCAGTTAGCACGCCTGCCTCTGGAGCAGAGAGCAGACAATCCTTGGTTCAATTCCCAGAGGAACCACATGCTTGGTGCCTGCTGGGGGCAGCCTGTTAACAGCATGCTAACACAACAATTTCCCAAATATGGGTTCAATATAGTACAAATTTTTTTTTTTTACACATAAGTGTATATATTCATATATATTTACATATACATAAAATATATAATATATATATAATTATTGTTAGTGCTAAATGTAAAAGAGTGATATAATAATTAATATTTTTTCTTATTTACACTCTTTATCATATTTACCTCCACTATTTTATATGCATGTCCCTACTGATTACCAAAGAGACATGTTATTAATATTTCTACTTATTTGTCTGAATGCAATTGTTACACACATTCCACAGACCGGCCTTTAATAAGCAAATATATTGATAACGGTGAATATATTCTTCTAAAATGCCATTTAATGACAAGTTAATAATTGTACTTCTATTGTATTTGTCTTTGCTGCATCTAAAGCACACGTGTAGTACACTATATTACAAACATCAATTAACATTAATCTTGAGCTTAGAGCTTATAGACTGTCCAGATTTTTTGGTAATTTTCAGCCATTTTGAATTAGTTGAGTTTGTCACTTTAAGATTAGTCAGAGTAAAATAAGCCAATGTTTTTTGTAAAGATTAATTTGAACTATTTGGGCTATGTTTCTCTGGTAGCTGGGCTGCTGTCTTACCTCATGTATGGGGGCTGAGGAGCTTGGCCGTTGGGCGGAACTGAGACATTGGGGGGCAGTGAGTGCAGTGGTGCAGGCTGGTCACTGGGCAGACTGTATTGTTGGATAGAAGGTACCTGGGGCATGGCTGGAGGCATGTAGGGAGCAGCAGCAGAGTGTCCTAGGTAACCCTTAAAAAAAAAAAAATCAAGACAGAATGAGAACCTCAATTCCTCCCCAAAGTCAGCTCCAGGAAACTGGACAGACAAACATTTCTATATTTATACTTACTAACAATAAACAATGTCCTATATTTGAATGTACCAGCAGCCTTGTTACAGTTCTTTAGACAGATTGCAACTCTTCCACTTTGTTTCCCCCGACTTTGCACTAAAATAAGAGATTTTTTTTTCTTACCGAATTTGGGTCAATGCACAAGTGAGACCAACATGGGACTGAATTTAACTTTGGTCTGCAGAAAGCTAACTTTGACAAACAGTAGAACAAGGAAACAAGGGCAGCCAACTGGAGTCTGCGTTGCTCAGTGAAGACATCCATTCTTCTACTTTAGGGGTGTCTGCCCGTTTTGGTCTTGGGAGCTAATATTCCAATGAACAGGCTAAAGTGATCTACCTAAATTGCATTATTTTTGTATTTTAAGTAAGCGTGACATTAAATATATGTATTTACGCAATATAAAATGAAAATACTCTTTATTTATATTTTATATTGGGGTCCTGGTCAAATGAATGTAGCTGTATGACACAATATGATTAAATTCTTACAGTGCAGTAGTACGGTATATGTAATGTCACTATTAAACATGATAATTATATTTAAATATATATTTATATATATTTATTTTTTTAATTGCTCATAATCAACCTGCACTTCCTTTGCGCCCCTGTTCTCCTGTAACTGGAGGTATGATGACATCAAGAAAAAAAAAACAAAACATGTATTGCTGAGAAAACAGAACCCTACAGTTACAGTGAAGCGAAGGCTGTTTAAAAAAAAAAAAAAACATTTTAAAGAGGAGAGAGGGAAAGGGGGAGAAAAACGAGAATACACTAAAAGCCTAAAGGTGATCAATAAAACCAATCAGCATGAGTGGGAGTTAAAACAGTGTCGACACTCATTTATGCAAAGTAACGGTGGGCCGGGTGGAGGGGGAGGGGGGCAGTTTTGCGACTTAAATGCACATTTTTAAACAGATGCGTGTCCAGGATGGATAACAATAAAAGCTCGGAACCTTTAAAAAACCACTTTACTGCACATACACACCGCTATTGATTACTGATAATAAAGAGCTGGAATTTATGGAGTGAAAACAGACTAAAAAAAATCAATTGCCATTAGATGACATTATTATAGTCTAAGGTTGAAATAGGAATAAGTTTGTATGTATAAACAAAAGTCAAAGTCAAAAAGAGACACAGAGCACCAAAGTCTGTGTTTTCACCACTGGGAGCAGAGACCAAATTTAGGATGTGAACTATTTTTCTGCCCTAAAACAGGTCCTGCTAGAGCAGTGATTACCAACACCTCTGCCGTTAGAGATCATTAGGTGTGCCGCGGAAAACGATCCAATTTCACCGAATTGGTCACAAAAGTATTATTTATTTATCGCAAATTATTTTTCTCTGTTCATCAATGTGTGACAGGCAGAAACATTAAATCCTCTTCTGCTAGGTGGCAGCAGATGGTTATTAAAACTAAAAAAAAAAGATAATCAGAGCTGTTGACGAAGATCTTTGTGAGTGTCTTTCTTCCTGCCAGTATATCAGTGTTGTCTTCAACTAAGCAGGAGTGCATTTTTAGTACATTTAAACTAGAGAGATCACTATATTTCATTACATTTACTTTTTGTCAGATTTGTGTTTGGTGGTGTGCCGTTCCTGATGATATAGATGTGCCGTGGCTCAGAAAAGGTTGGGAAAAACTGCACTAGAGAAACAGGAGTGTCAGAGAGAAAAGATAAACTATCAGAAAAAAAACCCAAAATGATTGGTCAAAGGGATTTCTGCACTATTTGTACTTTTAATTATAATTACATGATAAAAAAAAAAGTTTAATTACTGAATGGAGTCTGGTCTAACAAAAGGATTTCAACCTTGACCAAACAAGGCTCTTGTATGATAATATCAGATTCAGGCACTTGTATCGTGATTGGCAGGAAGAGCTCAGAGATCAGCAACTTTGACCAATCCTAAAAGCCACAGTGAAGCAGACACACACCCTGAGGTCTCTGCTCATCAAACATTGATGAGTTGGACAGATTTAGTTTCATTTCCTCACCTGCATGCCCATGGTTGAGGCGTGCGGATACTGTTGCTGCATTTTGGAGTACGACGTGTAGAAGGGAGCCTCGTTCATGAGCTTGTTGTACAGATCCAGGGCTTCCAGAACTTTCACATTCAACTCTGACAACTCAGAGTGTTTCCTGGAACAAAAATAAAAAAGACATTTAAGAGCACTGTACAAACCCCTAGAACTACACACTCCAGATTGTGTTCATTTTTTTGGAATATTCTGGGGCTGTGTTAGTCAGCATGGGACCGATTGGCTTTAGATTGCCAACAGCGAAACAACACTGCAACGTTTGGCTTCTTTTACTGATGGGCCAGCTATGGTTTTGAGGACAAGGCTTGTTTGAGCTCCCTCTGCTGGACAAAAACTAATGAATTAGATTCTGCTCTGTTAAATAAGTTAGGTCTGCAAAACCAAAAAACGTACCTGTCAATTTCTTGGAGCTTCTCGTCAATCATAGGATTCATCTGTTCACATGCGCCTGTTGGACAATCAGACAAAGGGACAGACGTTGCTGTTATCATAACACTGCTCAAAGTTCCGAGCGACCGCAGTCATCACTGCTGTGCAGCATCATGAGATTTACACCGGCAGCAGTAAAGTGTTTACCCTCCAGCTGGATCAGCTCTTGGGAGTCCAGATTGGGATCTGCAGGATCTTTGTTCTGAAGCAGAGCCAACGTTCTATCCATCTTTTCCTGCAGTGGTAAAAAAAGGAAGATAAAGCAGGGATAATGATACGTATGAAGCACTTATAACCATACTTTCATACTGAGGTGAAGATAAACACAACAGACTTTGTGTGAATTTAAGTCATTAAAAAAAACACAACATAATGAAATAGAATACCTCATCTATGTAGACAGGCTCAGGCTCAGCTTTGGTTTCCAAAACTGTCTCTTCAGCACTCACAGTCTTTTCAATATAAGCCACTGAAAATGAAATTGAAAAAAAAATACTTTTAATTTACTGCTTTTTTTAACTTAAAAGCCTATATGCCAATATGTAGCATTAAGCTAAATGTACTTTATGTAGAATGGTGTGGAGTACAGGGGGTCCTCGACTTACACAGGAATTCTGTCACTAACACTCACCTACGCTAACACAGTAGTGACATCATAATCTAGGACATAAAAACATCAGAAGAGTCAGACTTACGCCTGGGAGCCATAATGTAGGGCAAAAAAAAAAAACAACACAAATGAAAGTAAGTGAATGTAGCACAATCCAATGCATGGCGTGCAACCAGCTAATGTAAATAAAGCCGTCTGCGTATAGCACCACATGACAATGTACTGGTCCGCTCAGCTCGCCATTTTACTTCTTGTCGGAAATTAGTTTAAATTTCATACGCTGGAACATTAGAAAAAGACTTGATGTGAGATGGTGATGCAACCAAGAAACAACATAGGTCGAGGAAATCGTAAATCGAGGACCCCCAGTGATAAGGGATAATGATAGTTATAATGCCACTGGTAAAAGCTCAAATTCGACGTTGATGGCGGGAATCCTGACCTGGCTCTGGTTCAGCGTTCAAGGAGTTTGTGACAAAGTTGGAGGGGAAAAGACCAACTCCTCTGTGATTCTCTCCTTTCCACCAGTTTGGATCGCTGCAAACAAAAGGCATCGGAGGATGAATTGAGAAAATGTTGGATTAAAGACAAACAGTTTAAGAGAAAACGAACCATGTTTTCTGGGCTACGAGTCACTCTTTTCGAAGTAGTTTGGCTTGTCCTGACTTGGGTTTTGAAGAAACGAATATTTCAACAATATATCCCGTCTCTGCTTTTACCACAATTAAATTCTCCTTACTTCCGTAAAGACAAAGATCTTACCATTAAAAGTGCTATACTTTTTCCCTGACTAAAGGCTCCTCTTCCTGCCATCGTTACTTGCCTTTAAAAATGGTGGACAGGTTTAACAAAATCTGCAACTAAATCATTTTTCCCGTTTACACATACGTTTTTAGGGGAAACGTTTGAAATGTAGTACAATACAACCTACAAATGTTTTTCTTCTCTTCATGACTAATTTTTATTCATAAGCGTGACAAATATTTCGAAAAAAAAAACATACCTGTCGTCCAACACCAGAATAAGTTCTCCCGATTTGAAGGTCAACTCGTTGTCCTCCGCTGCCTCAAAGTCGTACAGCGCACGCACTTTCCGGACCTCCTGCCCTCCTCCGCTGCTGGTGTTGTTTGTAGTGTCAGAGGTGGCGGTCAGGGGTCGCAGGTCAGCCTGTTGTTTCTGCTCCTGTAAGGACAACTCGATGGCTGTGGGCAAGAGAGAAAAAGACACTATAGTCAAAACTCACACACTGCTCTGAATCTGCTTTAAAATAGAGGCACACACCCCGACAACTTATGGTAACATTTTCCATAAAGATGGCTGTATGCTGATATAAATACAGTGAATGAAGCTGATAAATATTTTAGTGCAAAAAAAAAAAAAACTATCTTTACCTTTTGCCAGGTCTTCATCATCTGTGACTTTGCCCCCTGCAGGTGTGCTGACCTTTGTAGTCGTCCCCTATGGTCAACACAGAAATTAAAGGTCACATGTATTTGTGTGTATTTTTGAATGATTACAGTGCCATCTGCAGACCATGTTAGGGACTATACGTTAGTTAAAGAGATGTTCTTTCTTGGAGACAAGAACCAATAGCACAGTTTCTTGTTCATAGCACAGACTTTTTTGGTCTAAAAGTATTTCATGCATCTTCATGTGCTTCATGTTTTTAGCTTGAAACTAAAAGGTGTAACCAGATGAAATCAAGTATATCTTGAATGAGGGGGGGAAAGGAGGCTGTATCCAAACAGTTCTATGTGATTTCAAACCATAACAGTGTATGATATCTTTAAAAATATCTTTAAGGTTCAGACTGCGTGAGCGCTAAGGGTAAATACTGAACAGCAGTGGCCCAGCGTGAATCTCCTGACCTGCTGCTGTTTGTTCACAGATTAAATATCATACCTGCTGCCTCCTGTGCCGCCTGCTTCGCTGATCTCCCACACCCACTCACATGATCTACCGTTCAACAACACACCCGGACGCACTTGGTGGCAAAAATAACACATTAAAATGACGTGTCAAATGGAGGAAAATGTCAAGTTGACAGTGTGGAGTCAAGGAGACAGAGCCAAATTAGTTTTGTGTCTGTAAAATGAATTGTATTAATTTGAAAAAAAGGTCATGATATTAATATAGAAAAATCCGAGCCCTTTCAAGCAGATATTAGCCTGGTTCCAGTAATGTTTGTTTTGTTACTGACTTTTGTAAATGTGAACTATTGTAAGAAATGTAATAAGCCGCAGGGTTCAAAGTGGGTGGAAAAAAAGGGGCTTTTAGTGAGGAAATTACAGTAAATTTGTTTTAACGCCATATGTCAGAATGATGGAACAAAACTTTTATTAATACATTTATGGGAAGGGGGTGTCGTAAACTGTGGACTCCTGTTATTGTCTCGTGAGTAAAAGCGAAATCTATTATTTTTTTACCACCAAAACTTTTGAGGAAATCCTGAAGTTCAATATTTAGCCCTGATACCTGTGAGGACGGAGAGGGAAAACTGATGCCATCCTCTTTCAGAGACTTGATGGTGGCACCAATCAGGCTGAGTTGTGGATCCTTCTGGAATTCTTCTGTCCACTCCACCATCAGAGCCTTTAGCCTCTCACACACCTTAGGGTGAGCCTACAATGAAAGAAAAGCCAGGCTCCACTTAAATGGTTAACAACCAAGTGAATGTGTTTCAAGAAATGCATAAACTGTATGTGACAATGCGCCTATGAAAGTAACGGGACTGAAAATAAAACAGAGAGCAGAGACAAATTACCTTGGTCAAGACATTGCGTACTTCACTGGCAAACTCTCTGGAGCAGATTTCCAAGTGAAATATTTTGCCACAGTTTGATACGCAGGCGCCGAGCAACTGAAAACACAAGGTAGACACATCTGTAAAGCTGATATTCAAGTAGTGGTATGTGTAAAAAAATACAGTTTAGGTTTCCCCAAACTTACATTGAGGGCCTGCAAGGAAACATGAGGCACTTTGTGATTGACTCTCTTCATGATGGCTCTAAGGCCTTCTTTTGCTCTGAAACAGAAAGACAGAAAAAAAGGCAAATTCAAATACCACTGCAACTCCTGGTTTCAGAAGATTTTACCTTCCACTTCAATATGTACTGTATATGACTTTCAACACTTAACTCGTGGTACTAACACAAAATTCAGGAGACATGTTTTTAATTTTTTTTTTAATTATTTTGTTTTATTTATTATAGATATCTCAAAAAACAAACCCATTGGATGTCGTCCCAATCTTATCACAGATGTCCATTATCACACCCCAGTCATCTGTTGTGTTGTTCTCATTGGTTGCTTTTTCTGTAAATGATTGACAAAGCAGAGGTGGTTTTGTGAAAAGGTTTGACAGAATATCTGCTCTATAAGAACAGCTACTCATTGTCAAACATGGCGACTCTATAGAGTAGAAGATTATTTTACATTTAACACATATTCAAGTTGACATGATCCAACCTTACAGTGTGTTGAAAAACAAAACGTATCAGGTGCAGGTAAAAAGTTTCCCGGAACTGCAAATTGATTTTCCCCAACATTTTTCTAAAGTGTATAACTTGACACTAATGGCAAATCATCATTCAATTTTAAATGACCTTACGAAATATTTAAGGAATATGTATAATATGTATCTCTCCATTAAATGATTTGTTTGATTCTAAGTAATTTTACAGAAACAAAGAGCTCAAATCTATTAATTTGTATACAAATAAATATTTTACTAGTTTGACACAGGTCTCATGAGCACAACAATGATTAACTATTAAAGTGTATGCGAACTGTCAAGTACAATGGTACAACCAAGACAACAAAAAGCAGTAGAATTCAGTAAAACTCAAATTGGACTGAGCAGTTTTTATGATAAAAGCAATTAAATTGTCTTGACTTATTTATTCTCCCTCGGTTCTTGTGGATAACTAAATATTATATTATTACTTAATGATGTCGTTATTATCTACATTTATTTATTATACATTCCCAACCAGCAGACTCATTCTGCGGCAAACCAAAAGTATGTGGTTTGAGATCAGGTGATCCTCTAAATAGGTTACTGTTCAAAACAAACCATAGGAAAGTTAACAATTCGCTAACATCTTCCTCACAAACACACTGATAGACAAACTACATTTTACGAATTAGAAAACACGGTATCGTAAAGATTTAATTCTAAAGATACAAAATAACGGCTGTCATTGCGAAATAAACGACCGATACTTCTCACTGAAGCTAAGCTAAAATTATCTGTGCAGCTAGCTTCCTCTGACTAACTCAAGAAAAACAACGTCACTCACCCACATCCTGGTCAAAAGGATTCTGAGCAAATAACGGCATAGTGGCGATTTTTAAAAAAGTTATGTCTAGAGAATTGTGCGTGTTATGCCGTTTTAAGGTAACGCTGGGCTTAAATAAATTGAACAAATATCATAAATATCTCTTCCTTGTCCATTAAACTCGCACCAGTTGCTCGTCTTCCGCAAACCTAGCTGACCTTAACACTGCCTGAACAAAAAGGTAGATAAAATAAATCTGTTAAAATAAAATAAAGCAAAATAAATAAAGTAAATAAATTAAATTGTGTGAACACGAAGTTAGAAAATATATATGACAAACGATCCTAATTTAACATGTGAATGAATGTTAAACCACTCTAACATTGCCTCCCTAACTCCAAAGTCTCAGCATCTTCAACCAGTTCCTCTAAAACCGGGGTGTCAAACTCAAATTCATAGTGGCCAAAATTAAAACATGGGACTAAGTCGCGGGCCAAACTTAATATTTACTGTAAAATTGACAGGAAATGTGCAAGGTTTCACTTTTCTCCAAATACGTAACGTATGAGGGTTATTTTTTCATATCGAAACAAATTTAACTAGTTTTGTGTCAACATTGAATCTGGAACAAACCAAGCTTAATATTATAAACGTGAGAAATTAAATTTGAAATAAAACAAACGCCAGTAGTTTTTGTTTCATATTATGCCTCTTTATCTGTAACCCTCCCAGTTCATTTTAATGTTTTTTTTTTTGCAGGCCAACCAAAAATGTATTTGCTATAATATCGTACATGCATATTGTAATACTACAAATCCTGCCAGTATATAGGGGTTATATACTGGTGGGCCAGCTCTAATACACGTGATATGATATTTGATATGAGGCCAAACATAATTCTTTAGCTAATTTAACAATAATTAGCAGGAAACAATGACACTAAAGTATTTTGGTATCTGGCAGGTGTTCCATCTACTAAAACAGTTTTCATCGAGTGTGAACTAAAAACTGTATCAGAATTCTTAATCAAAACCAACAACTTTGTGACCATATTTGATCCATTTCAATTAAAAAATAGTATTTGTATAAACGGCAATGCTATCTTCATGCTTTTTGCCATTTAGTTAGAATCAGAATCACATCACATCTCATTGGCCAGGTATGCATGGACAATTAATTCCACCCCAGTCATAGTTTATATTGTTTTATATGTAAAAACTGTATCTGTAAGTCAAATAAATAAGCAATAACTCAAAAGCCCAATAGTAAGCATTGTATTAAAAATCAATTCAGATATGAACTCAAAAACGTATAAATTATAGGCCATATGTTCATTGTAATTCAGAAGGCGCCTTTTAGAGGGGGTAGCTTTTCTACAGAAATTGAAAATATTTCAAAGGATAGAGAGCTGCAGCTATTTTACTTTTAAATATGCATTGTGTGTTCATAGCCCAGTGAACAATACAGAGAAACGCTCGGATAAACATGTTCTGGGGATAATTTGTGTTTAAAAATGACGACGGCGGAATTACGACAACTGGAATCATCTTTACTTAGGCACGACACTTCCGGGTGTTACACCACTCCCACCCCGCCGATTATTACTGCTGTTAATATTACAATTAGGTACCTGTACATTTGAATTATAACTAAATGTGCTCATTCTTGTGTTACGGCTTATACGGATTAACGCTCACCCGTCGTCCGTCTGACCTGATGAACAAGACGACTGTCAGGGCCGCGGCCCCAGTCGGTTAATCGACTATTTAAAATCAACCTCCCCCATTCGATTACGAATTATGGAGGGATTTAAGCGTTAATCAATTAACTGTTCCATTAAGATCTGGAAACCAGAAACATTGTTTTCCCGAGTAGCCAATGAGTCATTTGTAAAAGGTGTAAACTGTGGCCTTTCTGTCACAAAACCAAGTCACTTTACTGTTATAGAGGTGCAAATGAGCAGAGAAGTACACACCCACTTCACGGCCTCAGATTTATAAGAGACTATCTTGAACCATGAACTGACAAATCCCTGTATAGTATTTTATTGCTCTTACTTTCCGCTCGGTTGTGCAACTGAATGGCGGGTGTTGTTTTCTCACTGTTCCAACCAGTCGAGTGACATTGTGTCCCACTCAGTGTGTGGATGCCACCGTACAGTGATGGCTTTGTGAAACGAGTTAGTGAGACCTGCTCTGTTTCTGTTGAACAGGATCTGTATTTGAATATTTAATCTGTGAAGTGCACTCAGCTGACCTTTGACCTTCATGTGGATGCAGGTGACCTATTTGGTGAAAATATCTACTAGGACACAAGTAGCTGAATACAAAGTTCAAGTGAAATAACAATTAAGTACCAGATCCAAGATCCAACTTACCAGGAAATAAAAACCAACACAGGAAATAAAAACCAACACACGCTACATGTTCCTGCATCAGATAGCACGTTTTGCTTAAATAAATAGACAAAAAATATATTTTTCCGCACAAAATTTTCTAGTTGCATGCTACTGGATGTACGGACTCATTGTAGATTAACTTTACCGATATCTTCAGCGAAGGGGCAGGAGAAGATTGGGGGTGGTTTGTTTTCTGTTGTCTTCTCTATCGGCCTGTTTTGATTTGCAGTATTTGCCTTCAGCAGCGGAGCTTCGTTGGCTGGTCCAATTTGAGTCACTGCAGCGAGAGCACTGGCACGCGCAGTGGCGCGAGCAGTCGCTCGATTGCTTGTGCGACTGGTGCTGCGTTTAAAAAACGCCGACATTTTGGACTGGTCTTTCTGTTTTTTATCCATCTTTCTAAAGTCAGTCGGCTGCTATGCCTGTAGCTTAGGTTGACTGTCCTCAGTGTCAATCGGAAGGCGGCTAAGTGTGTTGAATTGTCAGCGCCATTCGCGCGTCCTTTGATGTCCTTGCTTGTGACTATCAAAGGATGCCAGTCTAGATGGACCAGCCTTGGAAAGTCTCTGCCAGGTAGTTACCATCTCGTTCAAAACAGGCATGGCTTGATCCGATTCTCAGGATCAGTATGGGTCCAGTATTTGTCAAAATTTCAGGATGGACCATTGAAAAACAACTATAACCTGATCTGATACCTATATAGGTTTTGTATCAGCTTTAAGTATGAGAATATGTGCATATCTCTGGTGAGATTACCTCATTTCTTTTGTCACTGAGACCATACCCACCTATGATGAGGGCACTTGGACTTCCCATGACGGCCTAATGTCGGTGTCGGTCTGCTGCCAGTGTCCTTATGCGTGTCTCTAAACGTCCTGCTCCGTTGTCCAGGTGGCTGGTGATTGCCGTGGGCCTAGTCCGGGCGTACATAGCCAGAGGAAGCTACCATGGTCTGTACTATTCCATAGAGAAACCTCTCAAGTTCTTTCAGACCGGCGCTCTTCTGGAGGTGAGAAAACGTACAGGTTATTAACACAAACGCACAAACATCAAGACCTTTTCACGCTAACAAAATGAATGTGCAGTGCATTTCACCGGCCTCTTATCTGTGTGTTGATGGTACGTGTCAGCCTGGCATAAGTCAGATGACCTTACATGGGCATAATGCATTCACCAACCCCTAATCTATATAATAACACCCTAATATAATTATATAATTATAATAACACCCTAACCTTGCCCAAATTCTAATCCTAGCTCCGAACTAAATCTGAAACCTCAAAATACCATCTTTCCTACAGGGAATCTAAAATGTCCTCACAAGGACAAGGGGCCTTACCACAAGTTTTTTTTTATACGCACTCACTTACACACTCCCTCTTTTCAGAGACTCTACTGTGCATGTGAATTTCTCCAAACTCACTGGAGCACATAAATAAAATAATAATAATAATAAGTATTAAACCAAGACAGTACTTAAAAAAAATGCTGCATGAACTACTCAAGGTCTGATGTTCTATCAGATGTTCCGTTCTGCTTTCCACTCCCTAGTCAGAAGTATACTGAGTTCCTGTCTGTTATCTTCTCTCTCTCCACAGATACTTCACTGTGCCGTCGGTGAGTCCCCGCAGCCTCAGGCTCCTCCTCACATTTGTGGCTGCGCCCTTTAACCAGTGCAACCTCAGTGTTATCATTAACCGTTATCATTAGCTCATGCTAAAGAATCGGAAGAATTGCACGTACATTAAACGTTGGTCCTTGGTCTCGTGTCCCCAGGAATCGTACCATCCTCCGTGGTCCTGACTGGGTTCCAGGTCATGTCACGAGTCTTTCTCACCTGGGCTGTCACACACAGTGTCAGAGAGGTAAGTCAAAACACTGTCAAAACACCAACATCTGTTGTTTTAACATCACAATATGTGGATCTTTCTGATGTGCTGTTTCCTAATAGATGGGATTGAAATAAAATTGGAGACAAGTTAAAAAAATAAAATAAAACCGTACGTAAGTAAAAACGTCACAAGGTGGTGCTGTAGAGCTAATGGAATGAATCTGCAGTGGTGGTTTTAAACATAGGGTTCAAATAATGTTTGTTTTCTCAGCGGGTTGAGTTTTATTTTGTTTGTTTAGTTCTGCTACACTGACATGTTTGAATTTGTACAAGTTAAGAAAGTTCCCACACTGATCAATAACAAAAGCTGTTGAAAACAGGATTATTATTATTATTAGAAATAATCAGTAAACTGCACAGACATTAGATCACCAGATCTGACGTAATGTTGTGTGACAGCTATCCTAACCTCGTCTCTGCATCAGCTCGAATCTAACACCCGAGGACAGAGGGGCGGCAGCATGTTTGTCTGTGAAGAATCATCGATCGATGACTGCAGCATGAGCACGAACCCGTTTCCTTGTTTGTTTCTTCACCCAGAATAACCCTGCTCTGCCTGTGTGTCTGTGTCTGTGTGTGTCATTCACTGTAGGTCCAGAGTGAGGACAGCGTCCTGTTGTTCGTCACTGCATGGACCGTCACGGAGATCATCCGCTACTCCTTCTACACCTTCAGTCTGCTCAACCATCTGCCCTTCCTCATCAAATGGGCCAGGTAGGAGAGAGAATGCATTTAGGAGCTCAAACGATAGATGTCGAAAAAACACTTTGAAACATTTGAATTGCCTGTTTCGCTCCGCCTCATCATTTTTGCTGAGTTCGTACCACGTGACGTCATGTTTTAGCTCCAAATGTCCCTTAAAGGTTCATGCCCCTGGTTTTTGACTGTTACAGTGTTAATATTACAGTATTTTTAAAAAAAAATTAAAATTACATCTTGAAACATTTTGACTTTAGTTACATAATTTATTCTTTCATTCCCAATGCAACCATCGTACTACCTAAATCATCAAATCAATGCCCCGTAGTTCTTTTTCTTTGTTTCTTTATATTTAACAATAAGATTTCAAACAACACTTTTACTCATTAGACGGTTTCATTAAAATCATTCCTCCAGTATTTTAAAACGACATTCAATTGCATATCGACAACCGTATCATAAATATTGTTATTATTGGTTATAATATGTATTACTGGTCATTTCCCATATAGCGGAATTAAAAACCTATAATGAATGAATCGACGTCTTCTCTACAGATACACCTTCTTTTTCGTCCTCTATCCTATGGGAGTGACCGGTGAGCTGCTGACCATCTATGCATCTCTGCCGTTCATTCAGAAGACAGGCCTGTACTCTGTCACTCTACCCAACAAGTACAACTTCTCCTTTGATTACTACACCTTCCTCATCCTGGTCATGCTCTCCTACATCCCCAGTAAGTTCAACCTCCTCATGTTCAACGTTCATACGTAGCCACAACAGATTCTTCATGTCCTTCACATGAGACTTGGTCACATCACGCCATCAAGGGTAACTTTTGACCGTGCTGAGCTAACTTTTAAACTACAGTATACAGTATGTGGTATCATTGCTGATAATGTTGTAGCTGGCACGCACAATATGCTATATATATATATATACACACACACACAGGTACTTATGTACAGAATGTGACTTCTGACTTACAGCGAGTTAAATTGCGCTGAAGGAACGGAAGATCAATGAAAGTCAACGGACCCCGTGTACTTTGTTACTTGTACTTTTCAGATTAGATTTAATTCGATTCTGGGCTCAATGAATCCATAAATAGAAGAATTCAGCTCCTTTTTGTTCTCTCCTTTCACTTAGCAGTTTCTTTTCTCTTCTTTGGTTGCAGTTTTCCCTCAACTCTACTTCCACATGATTCGACAGAGGAAGAAGGTTCTAGGCCACATAGAGGACTACAGTAAAGTGGAGTGATCTGAACTCAGTTGTTCAGACATGTGCACAAAGGAAACTAAAAAAAAGAAAAGAAATAAAACCAAACGCAAGAAAAGGGAGAAACGCAAACATGTCTGACTACTGGACGAACACAGAAACCAGTATTTTAGAACAGCCCGGTAGACGATCCCTGGTGTACGAAGATCCCAAACAAACTGGTGACTGTGTTTAATGTTTTCTGTTATTGTTAAAGACAAAGAGGAGGAGCAGAAGAGGAGCAACTGAGATTAGTAGCAGTCAAATGATGCACTGGTGGATTTTTTTAGAAATTGTTTTCCTGTAAAGTCCATAATGTGAAGCTGACAACACCTTTTGGATGGTATACAGTATACATTTTTCATTTCAGGCCAAAGTTTGATGACATTCCAGATTCAGTTCAATAAAGAGTCTTTATTTTGTGCTTGCATGGGTTTCACTGTCAGTTTGCATCTTTTTTTATGTTGCTTGCAATTGTGTTGTTTTTCTGCATCTGTGTCTCAGTTCTTACTACTGAATTACTCCTAACATGAACCTCACATTTACCAGTTTACCCTGTCACGACAGTAACGACGCTTGTCTTGTTGTTTCCATCAACTCGTGCTCTTTTTTGTGCATCCGTCTCTTTTCTAGGCTTAAAGATAATTAGTAGCATTTTTAGCATTAAAACAAATCCAAACATACATTATTCTACTTTAAGCTTATTTATAACACTTTTCAACCAATAACCCCAGTTATTTTGAATACATACATTAGATACATTTTAAATTCAATGTTTTAGTCAATAAAGTTTTAGATATTTTAATCTCTTAACAGTTTAGAAAAGCGTGCAATTCACCAGTAGTTATGGGACAACAGCTTAGACTTGAAAAAACAAAGCATATAAGTTTCAAAAATATGCTTTCAATCTAGATATTTCTCCTTAAACTTGCCTTTAAAGTTAGTTGTAAGTTGCTAGTTTTTATTTATTTTGGGCTAAATCTATCCATATGAATAGATATGGAATTTCTGGAATTTTCTGGCAAAATGTTTGTTTTTTCACTCTTAAGCTAAGCTTAACATTAATTATTAAATGCTTTATGAAGTCAGGATCAACAAATGTCTGTTTATTTCTGTAGCAAACAGCCGAGTCTGTTTTTCCTCCCTGTCCTACAGCACTGAGCATGACTGACTGGATAGCGAAAGTTGCTGCAGGTTTGTTGCAGCGGTTGCAGCAGCTCCTTGTTAAACTGCATGATGGCTAAAAAAAAGTGGATGCCTGGAATTAGGATGATGATCTTTGTTTAAAAATAACTATAAAATTTCTAAAAAGCATGGTTTGTGTTTCTCTTGACTGAATTGAGATTTTATACAAATGTTTTTGCATGAGTTGACAGCAGCATACTTTTGTACAGCTCCGAACAATAAACTCATACATAAACAAATACAATTAAACTACAGTGTGAGAACTAAAGAACTAAAGGTAACTAGGAGGACAAGTTCCCCAAGTTGCACTATAAGTATAAGTATACTGCTCTAAAGTCGATAAAATGAAAAGAAAAAAAAAACGTTGTTAATGATAGAATAGGTTTAATAATACAGAAAAGGAAATTCAGGGGGAAAAAATGGGTCCAAAAAGTTACTAAGAGTAAAACTCGAAGTAGATAAACCACCAGGGGGCGATGTGTGATGACAAGGAAACACGATTCACTTAGATATAACAGAATACCAACATCAACATAAATGGATAATGTCATTTTGAAAATAGCTAAAACAAACAAAAGCAGCCCCACTGTCTGAAATATGTCTTTACTAACAGAAACGGTTAAAATACAGCAGTAAACTGCCCAAAAGTAGCTGACAAAATAACAATAAAATAGGTAATGTTAATTTACCAGCAGTTTAGCTACAGTGACTTTGTGGCAGTTTCGTACACAGCCGTTATTCAACATTAAACATGTAGTCTAATAATAACAAAAATGTACTGATGCCCTTTGCTATTAATAATATAATATATAATAATAATATATAAATAACATAACCGTTTTGTAAAACTCTCTCAAACTTGTACTCACTGTTCCATGAATGGAAGATCCGTGTGTGACGACAACAGCGGGAAATTCCAAGCACCCTCTACAGAAGTAGTCACAACCTCCGACAATGTAGTCTTCGAGGCACACTACACAGAAATGTACGCCAATAATAACTAAATAATAGCACTACACTTAGACAACATTAATATAATTACCAATTCACACAGCGTTCATACTCACTCAGTAACTTGGCGCCAAATACCTCGCCCAGACACACGTCTCTTTCCTCCGTCCAATAATGGCTAGGCTAAAAAACTAGCTCTCCAACAGGACCCTAGTGTTTCTCTCCTGTTCTCTCCTTCCTCTTTTTTTATCCCACCCCTTTTCGCAGAATCCTATGGATGGTTTACACTTGACACTGACAAGCACTAATTGGTTAGAAAGAGACTAATTGAAAGACTGACACCTGGTTACCCAAATGAACAAGCAGAGCCGGCATGAAACGTTCAAAGACATCAATAAAACACGGGACATTTCATTGGACATTTTTCGAAATAAATCGTATACCGTAAATATATATATATATAAATATATAAAAATAAACAACTACCTGTATTTTTCAGGGGTTCCGTGCTATTTTTAAGAACATAATCCACAATAAATATTTTTTATTTATATTCGTCAATGTTTTACTAATTCAAAATAAATGTGAATGAAACCAGGTTACATTTATCCCACAGTCATAGGTTAGAGATAGGTAGTCTTGACCAGTTAGAAAATGAGTGAATGAGTTTGAATTTTGTATATATATTAATAAATTATATATATAACATATATTATTTATAAAAATAATATTAAAGAAGTTGGAATACGTTTTTTTAACAAATTCTAGTATTTACTGTAGGATGTGCATTAACTTTGTTGTTGTTAAGAAGTAAAACTTTTTCTATATCACGTTTAATGGCCTCTTTGTTTAATATAATGCGAAATAAAATAAAAAAAACGTTTTTTTTTTATTAAAGACAACAAGAAGTCATTATAAATACAGCATCAGTGTGTTAAAGCTAGGGATAGTTATATTCCAAGGAAAAGTTTTGTTGGATTGTCGAGATGTTGACGGCTGTGTAGTGTATCTGAAATCCTCCGGCTGAGACTGAGGCGTCTGAGAGGAACTTCAACGTCACTACATTTCCTGTCAGCAAGAGAATCAAAAAACCATGAGTGATCTGTTGACTAAAAACATTTTATGCTGACCGTGATAACACTACTGTTGTTGTTTCGCAGTCTCACCTGTGCTAAGGATGTCGTCAGGTATATCTTCTCCACAGAACCTGGGAACAAAATAACAATTTTACTCAGTACTCCTCAAATAGTGGGACGGGCCCCACTGGGGGCTATGCAAATGTAACCATAGCTTACAGATAGCTTAGCAATAGCTAAATCCAGTAAAAAGGGCAAAATTATAATTACTATGTAAATATTGACAATACTTCACCTTCCAACAAAGCCTGAGACGTCGTCATAGCTGTCGTAAATCTCCAGATAATCAGCCAGACATGACATGTCATCTTCCACGTCGAACTCCAAGAATTGGATCAGAATCCTCTGATCCAGGCGGACTCGAATGTGCCAGTAGCAGATCTGCTTGTCCTGGTATTCGTCAGGAAAACCAGGAGAGTGGATGATCTTCTCCTGGTCCGTCAGGACTCCACCACATTCTTTAGCTGTTAGACACAGGACATGAATGAACATCACAGACGTAAGAAAGAGGGACGAGGACTAGGCTGAAACTATCTGCAATAGCAAAGAGAAACAGAAGTTATCAGTTACCTTAGGCAAAGTTAAATTAGCGAAGATGATTTTAGCAAGAGGTTGTATAAATAGCTATCAATAAAAAAATAAGGTTTGCTTGGTAACTGCTAAAAGTTAGCTAAAAAGACAAAACTGCCCTACACGTTGATACATTTTTTTCACAATTAAAAATACTGCTTTTTTGTTGTCTCGATCTCAGGAAAGATAATTTCCTGTGCTATTTTTCCTTGTGTTGGTGGTGAAGCCGAGTTTAGTAAATACTTTGGTTTTGAGGTTGTGTGTGTTTCGTGTGAGCTCTGAATGAAATCAGAGCAGCACAGGAAATTAAACACACATGTAAACAAAACGGTGACAATGGCACCAAATGTTCTACCAGCAGGGGTCCTGGAAGGATGTGGGAAATAAGGTCTTTTCTTCTTAACAGATGACCTTAACATGATGGTTTGCTGTACTTTCATTAATGAGACAGAGCTCAGGGAAAGGCAAAAAAACAAAACCACCATTAGTCATAAAGGAGTGTAAAAGGTTCCAGTAATGGCACATAAAACAAGCACAATGACATGTAACATTACCAAAAAGAAAACAACAGAGCCATAAAAATCAAGCCTTTTCTTAATTATTTGTTTTCATGTTTGCAACGTAACAAAAAGCTAACTACATTAACCTTGACGTAGCAATTTATATATAGAATATATTGTTTTTAAATATAAGGTACAAATTAAGAAAAGATCTGAAACATTGTCGACTCAACGTTTTCCATTAAAATAACAAAAGGGTTGAGCTCAAAATTATGTAATTTAATCCTTAATCTATAAAAGAGTCAATTTTATGCAGATGATACTGTTATTTAGTTTGTATAGCTTCTGGTTGGCTTCAGTTGCTGGATTCTAATAAAAATGCTAAATTCAACATTTTTCTGACTATTTCTGAATTTACAGAATATTTAAAATTTCTAGGCAAAACATTTAAGAAAAAAATGAATGCTACAAATTTTTTTTAAATACCCCCCCAAACCCAGAATCCGATGGAACCTCCTCCCTCCAAAAGCCCCTCACCACCTTTGAACCCCCGTGGACTCACAGTGTGGGTTGTAGCAGTACACGTCCCACTTCTCGCTCTTGTTCAGCCTGTATCCGTAGTCAATGATGCCGACTTTCCCAAACCCGCAGTTGGCGCCGGCCTTGACAATGGGATATCCAACACGTCCCTTGTCGAACCACCCGGCTGCACACACGTGGAAACCTGGACAGAAGATGTCACAGAAAAGAAAAACATCTGTTTGATGCACTTTATCGTCGAAGGACACCGTTTCCCCAGGAAAGGGATCTTCCCTCTCTTTTTATGTCCCTCTTTGCCTTTTCCAGCTAGATTTTTTCACAAAAACAGATCTGGATATTGTCCACCAACTGGACATGGAAAACTACTACTTAAACTGCATCGGGGGGCCGGGGGGGGGGTTGAATGCTAACAAGCCTCCGGTCACTAGGTGGCAGCAACTCATACAGTTTGTAAAAATAAAAATATAGATGCTATCAGTTTCTCTATAGTATTTCTATTTGCAGGTGTGTGGGTCGGAGGGGGGCGTGAAAATACTTCTGTCCTCAAGGGGGGGCATGACTGAAAATAATAAAGAACCACTGTCTCAAATGCATTCCAAACCATAGTAAAACCCTGTATGTTGTGTTTAACGCTGTATATTTGTACTGTGTTGTTACGCCACAGTCACCAAACCCCTGAGCTTCTGTTGAATAATAAAAAACAATGAGATAATTGGTTTGGTTTTTTTCTTGACCATTGCTATTTTTACAGATTGAGTGTAAAGCTAAATACAGCGGAGTGGCCCCTGATAAACTCAAGCGCCGTTTGGGTGGAGGTGGAGACGGTGCAGAATCTCAGCTGTTGACAGGGAGACACTTCCTGGATTGGGGTCCACATCATGGGAACCGTGATATTGACCCACCCAAGAAGGTGTTAACAGACCTTCACTGATCTCCGGGGACTGATCCACTGCAGAGCCGTTTGGAAGAGGTGTGAGAGCCAACACTACCACCCCCTCTAAAACCTTTAGACCTTTGACCCAGGAACATGCAGCCCCTTTCCTGCATCTTTTAAAAGCATTCCGTTCCAGATAATAGCCATGTGTTTAATGTGGTTCCTTGATGGGGAAAAGGAAAAATAAACAGGGACGTGCCTGACTGCCCAGACTGATGAGGACAACAGTTTCAGGGTAGAACGTCAGTTTCTGTTAGCTACTGCTGTACATTACACATAAGATATTTACATTAACTTTAATTATATATCTTTCTTCAATTCCTGCAAGTATAACAACACTCTGTTCAACTAAACAGGCTCAGGTTTCACACTGAGGAAATTGTGAGGGAATGAAAACTAGAAAATCATTATATGATCAAAATAGTCTAGACCAGATATGGTCAAACTAAGGCCCGGGGGCCAGATGTGGCCTGTTTAGCTTTTTAATCCAACCCACCAAACTTTTCCAAACTATATAATTTATTTATATTATCATTATACTTCTGCCTGTACCTGCAATACCCACGTTTCCCCAATAGATGGCGTAGAAAATGATAAAAGCACTTTAGCATTTTAGCCTTTATGCATGACTTTTACATGTCATTTATTTTGGTTCACACCAGCTCCATCTATCTGCTCCTGACCCGACCTCAATTGTAGGACAGTTGTGGCCCGCGAGTCAAAAAGTCATCTTATCCAAAGTAGTTTAGAAGAGGCCGACTGGAGCGTCTTGGTTTTACTTAACTGCTGGTGTTAAATAGTCTAGTCGCTAATAGTTTGTTCCAAGGTTTCCAACTAGCAGATGACTAAAATACCCATTCCTCATACAAAATCTATTGTCTATCATCGATGTGTTTATGTACAGACCGATTTTTCGAGCAGCCTCCAGTTGTTTGTACGTGGCCAGTTTCCCGCCCTCGTAATTGCACACAGCCTTGGCCTCCTTGTAGGTCAGCTGGTATCTGCCTTTACGGGACTCCCGGTGGTAAACTCCAGCTGCTTGTTCTGTCACATAAAGAGATAAAACGAAGAAGAAAAAAAAGGCCGGGTTGAGAGTCTGTCGTCATGGAGACTGAGCTGTTGGTAAAAGAATCTTCTGATGAATCTTGATGTGTTTTATACATGTGTGAGGACAGAAGAACAAAAAGAAAGATTGGAGAAATGACATCGGACGATCAATGACAATAATAATAATAATAATAATAATAATAATAATAATAATAATAATAATAATAATAATGTCCCTTATTCATCCCACAATGGAGACATTTACAGTTTTGAGTTTTAAAAGACAATTGACACCAAAGTGTTTAAGAATGTGGATGCCCCCTGGTGGTTGTCTTTTGTCAGATTATGAGTAGGAAATTGACAAAGGCATCATATTTCCCTCAGTAAAATCCTCAGGTCAACCTTCTTGGACCATATTCAATGGCGTAGTAGCCCTCGAGGTTTCGAGGCCAGACGGCTCTGACCGATTGAGTCAGACACTGAAGATCTGTAACAACTTAGAAAACTTTCAACAGTTACCAAAAGAGCTAACAGTGCATGTGGTCCAGGTGGGTTGAACACCACTCCTCTGGAACAACGGCTGTCTTTTACTTTCTCATTACAGAAGCTACATTCTGGTTCTCAGAAAATTAATGCCCACCCCCACAAGCTACCCCAACCCGCCCAAAAAAAAACAAACAAAAAAAACATCTTAGAAAGTAGGTAATCCAGTATCACCTCTGACACAGCGGTGAAAATTTAAAAAAAAAAATTAAGTAAAATGTAAACAAAAAAGAAAAGTAGGTAAATGGGATTAAATACAAGGAGATTATATACATATATATTATAATATATAATTATAATAATAACAATAACAGTTGGTCATTTGAACTTTGTTTTTTAGATTTGTGTTCAGGTAAAATCAATACATTTGAAGGTATTTTCATAGGTGGTTCTTTAGACAGTACCAGGAATTTATTTAAGAAATAAATAATGTTCATTTTTTTATTAAAACTAACATGAACATTTTGGGTTCATATTAGTACAATCAAACTACAGAGAACACAGCATATTTACCCAGCCAGATAGAGTTATGAAATATCCCATTAGCGTAGCTCCAAGCCTGCGCCTCCTTCAG